TGAAGTATGAGTTCTTACGTGGAACCACGAAATAGACGCGTGAAACATTAATAGTGTATTTGGCTCTAGTGTAACTAAACAGCAGACAGTATCAAATTGGTTCGCCAAATTTCGTACAGGTTATTTTGACCTCAACAATGAGCCACGCGTTTGCTCAGAATCAAAGGTTATCACGCCTGTCTAGCACAGGTGAGATCCGTTATGATTTTATGAAACCTGGCTCACCGATCACAGCAGAAATATACTGCAACCAACTGGACGAAATGATGCAAAAACTTAAAAAAAAACAGCCTAGCTTGGTCAACAAATCGACTCCCATCTTATTGCATGATAACGTTAGATCACACACTGCACGAATGACTGTGGCAAAACTACAGGAATTGGAGTTGGAACTTCTTCATCATCCTCCATACTCGTCAGACCTAGCCCCCACTGTCTGTCGCTTCTTCCACAATTTGAACAATTTTTTAATAGGAAAACAATTTAATTCCGACAATGCTGTAAAACTGGTCTTCCAGGAATTCATTGACTCTCGTCCGCCAGGGTTTTATTATATCACCGGCCTGAACAACCTGCCGCTTAAATGGCAAAAGTGCATAGACAATATGGGTGCATACTTTAACGAATAAAATAATTCCTCATATTTGTAAGTTATGAAACAACTTTGCCTTCTTTCCTACAAACTTCATACTTGACGACCAGATAGTTCTCGATACGGTTTGAAACGTACCCGCGGCTACGGTATAACTCCATTTTGACGAGTTGGTTCGCATAATCGATGTGGTTTCCCGTGGTAAAAGTCCGCGTCTCTTTTCACCGCCGATTACGATTTTTCGTTCATTTAATACGAGTCCACGTTCGTACAAGAAGATTCGGCTCAAGATAGACTTCCGAGTTCAGTTAACCAGGCACCGATCAGATTTAGCATTCCACTGTATTTAGAAATCGGGAATTCGATGTAAGTCGGAAGGGAAACCTGCTCAAGGAGGACGTGTGGTGCGAGGAAACGACAACTAACCACCGCCACACCACCGACGGTGCGGTCCCAGGACCTCCAAAGTTGCATCTGGAATTTCTCACTTTCCTGTCGCGTAGCTCGTTTCTCTATCATGCCTTCGCCATCGAGTCTCGGAAAGGTGTACCGTAGACGGATACAAGAGGATTTCAGACGCCCGTCAACCGGATCGTGTCGCCAATTCCGATGGCTTATCAAGGGAAAATGTTTTCTATGATATTTCAATCTTCCAACGTTCGGCGACAGTCCACAAGAGCATTTCGAATCTCCTTATAATCTGCTCGAACAAACGTTGGGAAGGAAAACGAGTCGGGCCGCCGGCAACAGTCGGCCGACGCGAAAACTAACAGCAACAGTGTGGAGACAGATAGCGTTTCGGAGAAGAGGACGGTTTAATAAATCTCACTAATTTTCCGCTAGCAGTCCGATGGTTGCGGATCAAAGACCGACAAATGAATCGTTTGCTAAATAGAAGAAAAAAACCATCGGGAGAAATAGAGAAAGAAAGATGGAAGCGGGCGTGGAAGAGAGCGTGTGCAGGCTTGTGTGCGAGAAGCGTGCAAGAGAGCGTGCGCGAACCGTATGCGAACGTAGTTGCAAATGTGTGCGTGTATCTGTAAACTGAAACATCTCGGGGGTGAGGTATTGCGTTATCCTACGAGCCGTGAATCTGTCATCGTTAGCTACCAAAGGAAATACCGCGGGTATACGGTGCGACGAGTACCGGAGCTTTTATAGTTTTCACGCAGCCTCGCGCCACCGAGCGGTTTTTGAACCTTCCGGCGACATCATCCTTCGCTCTACGTCGACCGAAATCTCGAACGACGGTCGATCGCATAAGAAATAGCAAATTCGTTACTTTCGGAAACGCGGTCGTTAATATAAAGATTACAGTGCGCCCCGTCGATACTATAATTCCGAGTAGAAATCGTTCAGGGAACAGATAAATGCAACAAATAATGTATGTACAATGCACAACGATCGATAGATCGGTAACGGATCGATATCCTTTGCATAAAGTTCCATAAATCTGACAAAATTTCAGGGACCGTAATCGCAACCTGTTGCTACCGATCCGAGTTTTTTTCTCGAACTACACTCCCCCCTCCCCGATCAATATATTACGTTTAAACTCAACACAAACAAACATATGCACATATTAATTCATTCATTCAATTCTGGGAATTCTCGGAATCGATAGATTTTTCATAAAAGAAGAATATTTGTTATTTCGAGATACAGAGGCAGATGGAAAGTGAAATAGACAGAGGAGGAGAAAGAAAGAAAATAAGAGAGAGAGAGAGAACAACTGTGGGTAGGGGGAAGGCGAGCTTCCGTTTCGGTGTAAAGATCTCGAAAGAAGAGGAGCAGGCAGATCTACGTCGGTAACGCATACGACGAGCAGAAGTTCATATCCTGCGGTACCAGCCGCACGAATATGGCTGCAATGACAGATTTACAGATTCCAGCCATCGGGCTGCTCGCTTCTTCGAGATTCTTAAAGTGTACGTTTAACGAGAGAGAAAGAGATACGCTTTGGATGGCCGGAGTGCGCGTCAAATCGCACCTCGACTGTTTATGCTTTACGTCCGCAACCTTCGTCTCCGTCTAATTCTTAAACCTTTTTTTATTTTTCCTCGTTCCTCTCTCTTTTGCATCTTCATCCTCGTCCTCGCTCACGCTCTCTCTCTCTCTCTCTCTCTCTCTCTCTCTCTCTCTCTCTCTCTCTCTCGTCCTCGCCCTTGTTGTTGTTGTCCTTTTGTTCGAATCTACATCGCCGCTGCACGAAGATCGAACAACAATGCAAATATTAACGGAAACGTAAAATACGTAATTGCAATTTCTAGCCAACCGCAAGAAAAGCAACGGACGACCGATATACACTCGTATACGAAAGCAGAGAGGTGTAACGAGCATCCTCGTTATTCGTACTTGAACCTTATTAATAACAACAAAGTGGAAGAGAATTAGCGTCGAATCATCGTTCTTAATTGCACGACAGTTGAGTTGGAACAAATATGATTTAAAATTGGATTTCGAGAAAATTTATGTCGGTGCCAAAATGTTGGTGGCACACGACCGTGTTTGTCTATATTTCGAAGTACACGCTCTTACTTCCTGGACCGCGGCCACGATATNGTCGGTAACGCATACGACGAGCAGAAGTTCATATCCTGCGGTACCAGCCGCACGAATATGGCTGCAATGACAGATTTACAGATTCCAGCCATCGGGCTGCTCGCTTCTTCGAGATTCTTAAAGTGTACGTTTAACGAGAGAGAAAGAGATACGCTTTGGATGGCCGGAGTGCGCGTCAAATCGCACCTCGACTGTTTATGCTTTACGTCCGCAACCTTCGTCTCCGTCTAATTCTTAAACCTTTTTTTATTTTTCCTCGTTCCTCTCTCTTTTGCATCTTCATCCTCGTCCTCGCTCACGCTCTCTCTCTCTCTCTCTCTCTCTCTCTCTCTCTCTCGTCCTCGCCCTTGTTGTTGTTGTCCTTTTGTTCGAATCTACATCGCCGCTGCACGAAGATCGAACAACAATGCAAATATTAACGGAAACGTAAAATACGTAATTGCAATTTCTAGCCAACCGCAAGAAAAGCAACGGACGACCGATATACACTCGTATACGAAAGCAGAGAGGTGTAACGAGCATCCTCGTTATTCGTACTTGAACCTTATTAATAACAACAAAGTGGAAGAGAATTAGCGTCGAATCATCGTTCTTAATTGCACGACAGTTGAGTTGGAACAAATATGATTTAAAATTGGATTTCGAGAAAATTTATGTCGGTGCCAAAATGTTGGTGGCACACGACCGTGTTTGTCTATATTTCGAAGTACACGCTCTTACTTCCTGGACCGCGGCCACGATATACGCGTCGGCTTTATCCAAAATTTTTCGAAGTACATACCGTGTGAACCGTATTATTGTACATTGTACATTGTAGAATCAAAATGATATCGAAAGCACGCTTCTGCCTCGGTGGAAACGGGCTGGTGAGAAAGACGGACGTATCTGTTAACGCCACGAAAACTGTCCAAGCAAGCCAAGCATCCGAAGACAGACACTGACCGTGAACTACGAGACCTAAAAGAAGTTTACCTTATGTCGTAAATAGAGGGGACGAAACGTCTTTCTCGACTCGCGAAGCTTTCCATAGTCGGTAGCCGGTTGCCACGTGCTCCCTGAACGCGAACTTACAATCAGACGAAAACGAAAATGCAAACATTACGATTCACAACTTTCAAATATAATCGAATCAAAGCCTTTCGGACTTCGGATAGTTTTCCATTAATCCGACTGTTCACGTTTTATTTACCTATTTATTTTCTGTTCGTTGCTCTGCTCGTTTCCCCCGCTTAATTTTGATAACATCGTTCGGCCTAAGGAATTGTATATCGGTGAGAAAAGTTGAATACCTTCGGCGATGGTGCAGAGAAAAAAGATCCTAAGGCAAAAAAATATTGTAAACGCAGGGCGAGCCTCAAAAGATTTTCGCTGTAACATAGTCAGCAGGCATATCCTATCTCGCCGCTGGAATCCTCATATGTCTTTCATCGTGGCTTTCCAACACCTCGCGCAGCCTCTCGGATCATTTTGCTCGGTCTCTCTTCCTCTTTTCTTCCGAGAGGCATGGCAATACGAGAAGGCAATCATATCCCATCCCACTGTCTCGACTCGACCAAAATATCGTTTCGACTACTTACCGAGTAGCTGAAGCCAGGGTCGCGACTCGCTTGCCTCGCCTTGCTTTGCCTCGCCTCGCCTAGTATCGCCTCGTATCGCCGCCCTTCTTTTTATACCACCAAAATTATATCCGCCCTTAGCCTTTTTTTCCCTTTCACCGGAAAAATACATTATGTACACGATTGTTCGCGCGTTTACATTTCAATTTGTAGCGATCGCGACCGGGCACTGTCCTGCAAAAATACGTTAAACCGTGCATCAAATCATTTGTCATGTACATTTATCAAAGTTTCTTGTTACCTTGCGTAAAAATATAGCTATCCGGAGTTCAAGGTAACGCGGCAAACCGGTAACCTAGAATTTTTGCCGATTAGTTACTCGTTTCCTAAATATTGCCAATCAACGTTCGCCTAATTTCCTTTCACTCACCAAAAATTTAAACTTAAGAACAATAGGAGTCCTTGACGACAAATTATTGGCGTTCTTGCAAAATTTGCGTATTGCCTGCAACTAGGCAGAGATTAAATGTTTAAATTAATATTTAACGGATATACAATCACAATTAACTATAAAATAGCTATTTATATTACAGATCCTATGGATCAACGATCTAAACTACTTATTAAAAATGTGTTACAAATTACAGATTACAAATGACAATTAACAATAAGTTTCTCTTAAAATTCACTTAAAATCAAGTTCCAGTGATCGCCGCGCAATGACGCCACATGACGCTAACCGTGACGACGCCAGCGCCACCAAGGATTACCTTTCGTAGGTCATGTAGTCATGTCATGTCTAATATTTGTCTACTTTCTACATTGTCTTAGACACCACACTATAAAGAGTTTTCGTACTGTGTTCAACGGAACGATATTCAACGTATTATATATTTGCAAGTACGGCGGTCAGGATTTATGGTGATCTTACAAAGATTTTCAGGCTAGTTCGTCGACTGCAAAAGTGAATAGGACCTAACAATGTAATGTCGATGGAGAAAAAGCATTACATTTAAAAAGGATTCTACTGTACACATAACCTCGCGTTCTTTAAAACGTAATGTAAAACGTTCCAATTTTTACAACTTTGTCATTCTTTAAACATCGCGTAATATAGCGTGTTTAGTGATTCTAATACTTTCAACATCCGATTTATTTAATTATTTATAAGCTGTGCACTATGATTTCTGTAGGTTCCACAATGAATTCTCCAGGATCTCAGGCTCTGGAGACAGCTAAAAATATGAAAGACATGGCAATATTTAAAAAACCTTGTGGAGTTGCTAAACGACATAAAAGGATACAGCCAAAAATTTTAGATGAAGACACATATGTCAGAAAAATGGGGGAAATAATCCAAAGAGATTTCTTTCCTCATCTGGATAAGCTTCAAGCTCAGAATCAGTATTTAGACGCGTTGGAACAAAATGATGTAAAAAGAATGAGAGAGCTCTATGAAAAATATAGTTCTGGTCGTCCCACAACAGAGAGACCAGCCAGTCCTGCTACTTTCGAGACACCCATGAATAAAACTGAATCCGAGGATGAACAGTTGAAATCTTTAAAAATGCCTAAAAACGTTCCTGTTGTAGATAACACAAAAGAAAAAGAAAATGAGAAAGACAAAGAGGAATGTAAGAGCGGATTGGACTCGTATTTGAGTACACATACTAGCGAGGACAATGCGAGTTTTGAAGAAATGATGGTAGAAGCGGAGAGGAGGCTGAAGCTGAAATTTGCTTGGCTCTATGAAGCAGAAAAGACATCGAAAGCGTTGACCAATGACAGAATCAAAGACATCTTGGCAATAGAAAATGGCGATAAAAAGCCCAACCAATTGGACAGTTGGAGTTATAAAAACAAAAATTATATCATGTACGTTCCCGATGGAGTTGAATTAACTCCAGACGAAAGGGTCGATTTGGCTAAGAAAAAGCAGGTCGTGGTACACGAAAATACAAGGCTACGAACGAATCCGTTCAACGAACAACAAAATAAAGAAACCATTAACGAATTAGCGAAAAATCAATCGAAAGCCAACGATGGAAAGATTGGAGTAGACGGTAAGGAAATCGTTAGGAACCCTACTCCCCGGGTGAACGGTTTCAGTTTCGTGGCAACTCCGAGTCCAAGACCTGGAGAATGCGAAAGTCCTTTGATGACATGGGGTCAAATAGAGGGTACACCATTCAGATTGGACGGTGGGGATACTCCTTTATTGCGAACAAGCCAAGGACCTTCGTTTCGAATGGCAGAACCGCCGAAAAGGGAGCAACTAGCCCTACAGCTAGCAGAAAAAGCAGGAGAAAGGCACAGGGACAGAAAAACTAAAGCGCTGGAAGCAGCTAGGAGATCGCTTGCGACGTAAGTTTCAACACTTTAACATTTTCAATGTTGCTTTCGCTAATCATTACACATATGTACTATATCACTTGATTACAGACCATCGCCGAGATCGACCATAGATCGCTTGAGTACCATGTCTCCGGCAGCCAGAAGATTAGCTACGCAAAAACTTCGCATCGCGAGTACACCAACCCCGCGAAGAACCCTGTCGTCGAGGACACCGTCGATAGGCATTAGAACACCGGGCACACCGAGAATACACGCACCATCGAAACCGGAAAATCGTCTTGAAATCGAAAACAACAGTACCCGATCGCAAGAACCAGTTCTTACCGATAATCTGTTGAATCTGCCGCTTCAGAGACAAAGAGCAGCCGATTTCTTCAACAAATAAATTACAGGAGTAATCATCGAATTAGTATTCGACTACTGCGCGTTGTATGCCGATCTCTATGTAAATACTTTATTGCATTTCCGAATGGTACGAAACCTAAGAACGATAGGAACTTACTTCTTCAATATCGAAGATTTGCATTGTAAAATAATATTTTATAATAAAAGATTTTTCAAACGGAAAATAAGCCGGTGAATAGCCTCAGTAGCCGTTGTATAAGCGTTTTCTTGCGAAAATTACAAGTCTGATCGTCGCTCCATCGCATCAGGAATAATACAGGAGAAGTACGGAAGAAACACGGGGGACGCATGAAAGAAATGCGGAAGCGTAGGAAGGTCGTGAACGACGTCCAATCTGTTTACGGTGCAACATAGGATATTGAATGGCGATGAACTGTATGACAAAAACGGATACGTGTCCGGTCTTGTTTGCATCAACATTTCAACAAACACATTTACTGTGCGACAATTATCCGATCTGACCGTTTGAAGCTTGGACACAGCAAGGTTTTAAAGTGTTTGTTTAAATACAACAGGAAGTACGATCAACGTTGGCGTGGGTTATGCAACTCTGCTTCAAACATTTTCGCAATATTTTCGGGTATATAAAACAGTAATTTGAACGACAGCAACAACAGAAAAGGAGAACCTCGCACAGGATGAGGTCGTCAGCTTTATTCAGTGCTTTTATTCTGACGATAGTGTGCTCGTTGCTCGTTCAGGAATTACAGGCGACGTGCAAGTGTGGAAATTTGGGATCGGGTAATTATACAATTCGCTCTGATTGCGAACGAAATTGATTGAAAATAGAGTTTCCCGTTACAGCTACGATAATTTTTGTTACAGGTACGAACCCCTGCACCTGCAGCGACACGGTCGTTAAAGCTGCGAAATTGCCGAAACCAATATTCTTCGCATCCCCCGAAGAAATTAACGATGCTGCAGCTGCGAGAAACAGTATATTCAATACTAATAATGCCAACACTAACGCCTACATCAGCGATAACAGCGATACCATCGTAATAAGTAACAGCGATAGCGATTCCGATGTGATTAGCAACAGTGATAGCAGCGAGACGATTAGCAACAACGATAGCAACAGCGAGACGATTACAATTAGCAACAACAATTCGCCCGTTGTCACCATCACCGACAATCAACAAATCTCGGAAACTTTGGAGCTTGACGATTCATCGGATTCGAATATCAATATTGTACCCAGGTATGGTATTTAACAACTTTTAATATTGCATACTTTATATTGTTTTTCGTACACGCACATTACATACATACGTATACCACTTACAGTTTCACACCGATCGGCGACTTGTGCTACCCGCTTCCGATCGATTCTCGCAGCGGCAAACTAATTGAAAAAACTAGAGTGATTCCAGCTTATCCGGGAAAAATTATTTGCAACACCTGCAATCCTGCGGCGCCGTATGAAATTTGCATAAATACGCTTAACGGAGAAACTACCACTAGAATGCTGTCTGGTCCAACGAGCGATCCCAATTCTGCATTGCTTGTAACACCGAGCACCGGCACACTGGACAAATTGGGATTTAGATTAGGATCGCGGGGGAACATGAATACCGGAATATTCGGTGGACCATCTTCCGTACTTAGTACAGGCAGAGGAGGATCGGCTTCCGGAGCATTTGGCGGATTTGGTGCATTGAAATCGAGATTGTTTGGACATAAAAATTTGGGACTGCTTGGTAGATCTCAATCGAGAACTTTCGGTCAAAACTTTCAGTCGAGTCCTCGTGTGTACAACAACGTGCTCCCTCCGCTTTTGAACATTCCTCAAACACCTAGAACAGCTGTTATAAGCAGCAGTTCTTCGAGCTTTTGCGAGGACGACGAAACCACAGGTTCGTTGTCTACAGCAATATTTCTACCGCATTATACTGATATATTATATTATGTATAATCGATTACAAGTTGTGGGGTTTCCTGCTTTTCAGACTACGGTCTAACAGATTACACGTATCCGCAAATACCAGCGGACGCTGTGTCTCTTACCCTGGCGTATAAAAATCTTCGAGCCCCAAATGTAATCTACAGACAAGGAAAACAATTTGTACCGGAAGATAAGTTATCGTTTGGCCATCGTACGGTTCCAAACGAGGAGAACAACGAGAAAAAGATACCAGATATTCCAGAAGAGAAACTCGTCACTGTCGACAAGCCTGTCGTTGAATTAAAGATTGCACCTCCGAGAACCGTTGTGATTGGTTCTTACGACGAACGGGAAGAGGCAAAACTCGCCGAGCTCGAAGCGATCGAACGCGAGAGTATAACACAAGAAGAGGTCCTCGATCAAGGCGCGGAAGGTTTACTCACCTACAGGTAAATCTGTCGCTTTCAAATGATAGAATTTCATTGAAAGTAGGGCAAATTAACAAATCGTTTCGAACCGTTCCACCGAAACCATTTATATGTCAGTTTTATTTACAATTTTTATTTACTGTTCGCAGAGATCTAGGCTATGCGCCAGTGGGTTCGTTCTATGCCAACTCGAGAAGCTACAGTGGCATAATCAACGGGGAAAGTGACGACAGCATGGAAGAACCGTGCGGTTCTCTAGGTCCACCGGTACCAGGTTACATCCCAGGCTCGGTGATAGTTCAGCAAGGTTTCATCAGAGATAAATTTGCAAATTCTCGTATCGGAGAAATTATTGATAGGAGGCTCGTAGGATGCCCGAACTGACCTATTATTTATTATCTTCTGTACAGTCATTTCTTATAAGATAGAAATAAATTACTCTAAACTCTGAACTTCTTGTTTTCTGAAACTCTGAAATTCTTGTTTTTATTCCATGTAGTGTAATAAGAACTTATTGCTTCGATATTATGATACGTGATTATTATATTATACCTATATCAATGTACATGTATAGTACAATGTGTACTTTATATACATATCGTGCAGTACATTGTAAATTGTAAATCATTTTCGTTGTACACATACGCTTCTATGCAGATCTATTGCAAAATACTGTCAAGTTCTGCAGTTACATAGAAAATTATAATAATAACGCGATTATGTAATAATAACATACGCGAGTAACGCAGAACCGTATTACATATGTATAGTAACTTTATCACACTCACGCAATTATGGGAAGTGCTTAAGACTTCTTTTGACAAAATAATGTAAAAGAGGGTAAAGAATAGGGAATGCAAATTAACCTGTTCCAACGTTGGTTATGCCATAATTTCATTTTGCACCGAGCTTTACAATTTTGGTGGCTCTAGGCTTAAGGCTTAAATTCAAGAATTTAAAGTTAAGCAAACATGTCAACGCTTTGTAAAACGCTTTTTCTAGTTTGGAAAATATGTTTTTTTAATAAAAACACGTGACCGATTGCCTAGGGCTGCTAATTGTAAAAATCGATATTTGCATGTCATCGAATAAATTTATCTTGACATATCCCACGTAAGATCGATCTTTTCGCAAAATCTTAATGCATAATTGCGGAATCTATTCCGTTTCTTTGGGTCAGAAAGAATTTTTTCTGGATCGGAGAAAGATATAAAAAGTAGGCATTACAAAGAGTTCACGAACGCACAGACTTTTGATTCGATAGTATTCGATAATATTCGTCATAATAGATATCTGTGGCTGTGGCATAGCACCCCCTACTTATGTCATCGTCGTTATCGTATATTTGTCTTCTTTAGAACTGTACTCAACTTGTACCTTGTTATAACTCTCAGAGAGATAGCTTCAACGGAGACCGGACACATTCGATTCATAATTTCTTTTTCATCTTTGTTTATTTTTGTAGTATTTTCAAAATTTTCTAGTCCCACTAACTTCGTTAAAATATTTCAACGATATTTTAATAACATCTTAACGATATTTTAATGATATCTTAACGGTATTCCAATGATATTTTAAAGAAACTATTATTCATTTCTAGTATGCAATTTTCATACATAAAGAAGACCCACCCAGACACATGTTGCGATAGATGAATCGATTGCACGGACTGTTTTCGCGAACTGTAATGCATGGTATGTATAATGCATCGAAACAATCACGTCGTATCCGGTAACACAAATCCGTATACGAACAACTTGAATTCATTCCGAACGCATGATGTACAGTACACAATCTAAAATGTATAATCTACAATCTAGGATCTACGATGCTCCGTCTACAATGGACAATGTAAAACGCTCAACCCATTTATATATCTACATGTTTAAACGCGCGTTTAAAACTCTCACGATGGGCAGATCCTATCGCGCTACGTGCGTTTCATCTCCGCGTTCATAAACACGTTCGTCGTTGGGATCTTATAACATCCGCGGATAATATTTGCCCGGTGAATTTTGTTCGCCGGCACGTTCCAGGATCTGTGAAATTTCTAGATGGAGAAATCGCGCGTTTTTCGTACCTTCGCATCCGTTCACGTGTATTTGGGAATAATTATTGCGAAACGGAAAACATCTAACAGCTTGGTCGAACAATAAACAGGAAGGAGAATCGTTTCCGATGTACTGTACTCGTATATTAAAGTGTGCGCGATCGTTCTGGCTAACAGTATTATCGTAATCTCGAGTCGAAGATACAGTTTGTTCATCATGCAGTCGGGAAAACCGGGAATATTGATCTGGCTGGTTATCGGAGTTTGTCTTAGACGTTGTCGCAGCCTTGTCTTCGACGGACCGAAAATCGTGACGTACGGCGAACCGTGTGTCGGTCCGAGTCGGCAACTACCAATCAGGATCGAGGTAAAAGTCCATGCTCGATGACTTGCGAACAATTCGAACCTATTCTTGCGAACAAATGCTTTTTCGTGGCAAGAAGAAGCGACGGAGAAAGACAATGGCGGAGGAAAAAAACGAGATCAATGAATTTCAGGGGCCGAAACCACCCGTGGAAGAGCAGAAGGTTCCATTGTCCTTGAACTTAAAAATCGTTTCGGACATGTGCGCAATGCCCCGTTCGCTTCGCCCCGAATACCCAATCGTCATACAAGCGCCTTGCCCAACGACTACAACAGAATGGTCAAGGAGAGAGGAGATGCTGAACAAAGACACCCTGCGAGGAAAAACATACGCGTACAATACTTATCTTCCGCCTGTCGGCGATACTGTCCCGTTCGCCCCGTTGAAAAAGTATAACTTCTTAATTATGGTTCCAGTTCCCGTCAAAGAGTAAGTTTCACGCGTACGATTGTTCTCGATCGAACGTAATTCTTTCGCTCTCGCAAAGACCGTACCGTGCCTCTTCTTTCTTTTCTCTTCTCTTCCGTTTCAGAAACACATCCAGTCCACCTACGGCCAAACACGTTCAACGATTGAAAGGACTCACCACACGAATCGATAGAATACTTGTTCCTGCTTGCCAAGTTCCGCAGTCGCGCGGATGTTAACCCTTTACGGTCATATATCGACGTTATTACATTAGGTCTGAATACAGAGAATTCTCCCGAATTTTCCTCCAGCTTGAAAATAAAAATGGACAATTTGGCAAGAGCAGATACGATTATTCGAGCCTTGCACCTCGTTTTTATAACTGTTGACGATCGGAAACTACAGGGTGTTCCAAAAATATCTCGCAATCCGAAGGCGGCGGGTTCCTCAGGTCATTTGAAGCAACTTCTTCCTTTACAAAAATGTTCTCCGAGGCACCGTTGACGAGTTATTAACGAAAAACAGTGACCAATGAGAGGCGAGCTTAGCTGGCGCGAGGCGACCGAGCTAATGAGCGGAACTGGGCTTCGTGCGCTGGTTGGCTAGGCCGCCTCGCATCAGCCGTACTCGATTCTTATTGGTCACTGCTTTTTCGTTAATAACTCGTTAACGGTGCCTCGGAGAAAATTTTTATGAAGGAAGAAGTTGCTTCAAATGATCCGAGGAACCCGCCATTTCCGGATTACGAGACATTTTTGGGACACCCTGTATAAAACTGAGCCGCGAGGCTCGAATAATCGCATCTCCTCTTCCCAAATCGTCCATTTTTGTTTCCAAACTGAACAAAAATTCGGGAGAATTTACTGTAGCTGATTCTAGATGCATTCTTTAGTAACTTAATGAAGCAAAGCTCGCCTAAAGTACTTAACCTCTTATATAGTAATTCTTAACATCATTTCCCATCACATTTTCAACGGTAGCTTATAAAGAAGTAAATTTGTATAAACAGTCGCAGTTCGAAATAACAGAGTTTTACGCGTCTATTCCACGAGAAGCCGGATCTGAATCGCAAAACTATGAATCAGTCGAATTCGAAGCGTACAAGCTCGGCGATAGACACAGTATCAGCGAAGCAACGGTTGTTTGTTTACACGTTGACCGACGCCGATTTTCCGGTCGTCTGCAGCAGATTCTAACGCTTCGACCTTGCCATACGATCTTAATTGTTTGGCTTGTGACATGCATTTCGTTTTAATGCTCCCAATAAGAAAATACAGTGCTTCTCGATTACAAGTTTTTGACTTCATCTTCGTCTACTTCTTCTGTCTCTTCCTTCGTTTCACGTAGTCGTAACTCGGCGCGTTCAGTTGGATCGTTTTTCGCATGTGTAATCGTTAAAGGACTAAATATCCTTAACCTTTTGAGCTCTGAATACTCCTGGCTGAAACAATTCGTAGGGACGAAGCGCGGCTATCGCTGACCATCGCTGGGGGCGGAATACTTATTTGCCACACTGAAGTGACTATTCAAGGCGCAAACAGTAATAAATTATAGTAATAAATTATACAAGACGATACTGCTGACTGAGTCGTTTTGAGTGCTTTGAGTCGCGAAAAGGTGACAGTGCAGGTAATTATTTTGAAATCAAATTGGTCAGAGAGTGGGACATAAAATGGGATTTCCGTTTCGGAAATTCCCGGGGATTTTTATGGCCCTAATATTGCCCAACCGCCTACCTAAGGAAGGCAAATTACTAACGAGTGTCCCTGTATTGACTTTACACGAAAATAACTGCATATTGATTGAAAAAATCGACAAACGCATATATGCGCCCTTAGTCCAGGCCGATGACTTAGAGAAAACACATAAATGCGGTCTTAGGCTACACGGATGACTTTCGCCGAACGCATATATGCGTCCATAGAGCTCTAAGAGTTAAGTCGATCAAGCCGAATGAGATCTTCGAGAAATCGGGGCAAATGAAATCGTCTTCCGATCGACGGTATCGCGTCAAACTTGATTTCCATAAAGTAGCAATCTTTATTGTTGTCGAAATTGCTCACGGTATACGTGCTCTCTTGTCCGACGAGATATCGATCACGCGAGTATATATATGAAGGTAGGTATGTGAACCATCGCCAGATGAAATCGACGAGTGTATCTTTCAATAAAAAGTATGAGAAACGTACGTTCGTTTGTTCTTTCGTTCGCGGCGGTAATATTTTCCGGTATTCTAGTGTTTGCCGACGAGAACTCGCACAGTGATCCAACGATCCGACAGAGCCAGGAGGAAACGACGGGAAAAATATGGGTAATTGTCATACATTGTTTTCTCGATGGTCGATCTATAATCGATCGTTGTTACGAACTCCATCGTTCCTTTCGTATTTAATTAATTGCTCCTAGATCTCGCCGAGCGTCAAAGAATCTTGGAAAGTTCTGGAAAATGATTTGCAAGCGACAACGACCGATTCAGACCAGTCACTGTCGACAATACTATGGGAAAATGAGATGCAGGTAAAACTGACTTTTTAATAGCGTTCGTCATCGTGAGACAGAAAGAACGATTCCTTTCAGAACACCGCCGCCGACGACGACGAATCGAGCTCATTGCCGATGATGCATCGGATCGTCGACAGGACGATAGAAACGGATCCAGTACTTCTCAGTGCGGAAATCAAAAGAGAGCCTGAGAGCGGAATCGAAACGGGACCCGATGATCCGTCGTTGTTTATACGGGAACAACGGCAGAGTTGCTCCTGTAAAACGGAAGCTTCAGAGTTCGTTCACGATCGCGAGGCCGGTGCCATGGTGCACGAGATCTTCTGCGAGGCCGACAGGTTGCTGCATTACGCGTTGATCGCCATTGAGAATTTACTGTACGAATTGGGATTCGACGAACAACTGTTCGATGCGAAAAGCCAACAGAATCGTTTGATCTCGTTGTTCGACCACCTCGCGGGCAAAAGTCCCTTCGAAGTCGTAGAATATTGTTTGAAGCACGTCGAGAGGTTTCTGACCAATCCCGAGTATCTCGAATATCTGTTCGTTGTCATTCAAAACTCTGTCCCTATCGACGACATTCTGAAGACTTGGAATCGGCTGGAGATTGCCGTTAAAAATTTTGTCGGTCGGGTCGCGGAGCTCGTCGGTTCGCACTTCGATGAAGACGTTGTACAGGGACTGCGGAAAGAGTTGGTGGCCGCGAAAGAAGACACGTTGCATTTAATACGGAGATACTTGTCGAATCATTTCGAAGGCAAACCTTTCTCGCACGAGAGAATAATATCGTTCGTGGAATCGTTGTTGGATCGATTTCTCCGTCACGAGTCGTTCTCGCGAGTTCTCGATATTATAAACGATATCACCGACACGGTGCAAGATCTACATCACGGTCCTCGCCCGTTCGACTTGCAGGAACGTATCGTTGCCCCGGCAAAAAATTTAATTTCATCTTTTTTATCGAAAATTCAGATCAGTCCATCCGCGGACAGAATACTGAACGACGGAAAAGATCTGCTCCATAGAGTGTTCTATCCAAGTTCGATGATTACGGACGAATCGTCGTCTAAAATTCAAAACGATATAATTAATCCTTTGAGGAACGCCCAGGAATTTCTCCTACAGAACGAAATGCCTTCGCCGCTTCGAATAGGGCGAGCCTTTCAAGCCGATTTCTTCTCGCCTTCTTCGCAGTTAGAAACAGTGGCATACAATAATAATAATAATAATAATAATAATGGTGATGATAATGATAATAATAATGATAATAATAATGATAATAATAATAATGATAATGATGATAATAATAATGATGATGATAACAACGATAAGGTAACCAGACGCAATGCAATAATGATGCGATCGAGGTCTAATTCGAACAAATTCTTGCACAAAGCCACGAACGATGACCTTCCGTTTCCGGCAGCGTTATTCGAAATACCGAAGTTGGAATCCTTTAAAATCGATTCGCCGAGCTACTCGCCTCGACTCGAATCGTCTCCTTTAGCGATCTCGTTGTCGCGTCCGCGAAACGTTGCTGCTCCGTTCGACTCGTTGACGGCAGGTGGTTATATGGCAACCGTTCCGCCTGCAATTTACGTCGCAAAGTCGGCCGGCATCGAACCCGCGTCTCTCTTTCCGTTCGCGGTACAAGAGAATCCGAATTATTACACTGCCCCGTTTCCGTACATTTATTCGTGGACCGCGCCTTCGAATTATCAATCGCGAACTCACGTGGACTATCTGAAAGCCATCGAACAGCGTTATAAAAATATCTCACCGTACGCCGATCTCGCCTCGACGGCACCGGCACAAACTCGATGAAATATCGGACCGCGCGTAAATTCACCGTTCAACTTTCGACGATGTTTGCCCGTTCGTTCGTAAACAACGGCCCTTACGGCGGGCTGTTTCGAACGTCGCGACCGGCGAAAACAACCCTTGCAGCATAGATCGTAACATCGCAATCTAGCCGCGAACAAAATTGATCCAATCCTGGGCAATGTTGATTCCTCTTCGGAGAACACGATCGTTATTCTTCCTAGAGACGACACAGACACGAGAAGACAGGTACAGAGAGAGAAAGAGAGAGAGAGAGAGAGACGCAGCTTTGATCGGGCTTGCGCGCGATTCCAGGGAGCGCACGGCCCGATCAACTTTAATCCGTTCAAGTCGGGACCAATCAAGATGAAACGTACACGGGATCGAACGACCGACCGTATTCTATATGTATTCGATCCGCGAATTCTAACGATCGCCGCATGTAGTACATTACTTCTTTGCGGTCGAGCGTCTTCGTCGTTGACGCGGCGCAGGTAATATGTCGTGCATGTAATGTATACCGTAATCAATCGCATCCGTCGGACAAGAGAAAATGTTTGTGCTCGTTTGTAAACCAAGTATACCAGGGAAGTCTGTAAAATAAAACTGACATTGGAACACCATGTTTACGATTTGCAAAACCTGACCGCGTCGATTTCAGAATCGTTTTCAGCGAACTCAGCGGGTTTCGCAGCTTAGCGCGAACGCGAAACGTTCGACGAAAGAGATTTATTTCGCCGATCGATCGATCGCGTGACTCATCGACCGGCGCATCGTGGATCCTCAAAGATAACCGGGGTACGAAACGGCGAGAGACAGGGGGCACGGAGGGGGCACCTGTGATTATACAATTTCCGGCGGGACAATAGAATGGATCGGGAAAAACGCAATTCACTCCGCGACGTAGAATAATTGTTTCCGATAAAAGCTGGCGGTCTCGTGGGTGAGCAATTGATTTCGGTTTCCAACGGGGCGGTAGAAACGATCGTGTCGCGTTTAGTCGAGTCTCTAGTCGTGTCTAGTCGTGCCCGGTCGTGTCTAATCGTGTTGCACCGTTTTGCCGTTGATCGACAAAGACCAACCACGAAAGAAATAGACAGATCTCGCGGGAGCAAAGAGGCCTGTGATTCGTTGATTATTGGGGTCTCGCGGGAGCGCTGAGGCCGGAGTCGGTTCGTGTCGTTCGAGTCGTTGATTATTGCCGAGTGATCTTTGAACTTAATTCGTTTGATGGTACTGGTGGTCGTTTGTCACGCCGCTTCTAGTAAAGCAGTTTACCGCCGTCTCTCCGACGAAAACTATCGCACTGCTGCTCCACGCTTCTAACGCAGGAAACGCACCTACTAATACCATGGCTCGATTTTTATTTACGGCCCTCTTGATGGTCTGCCTGTTCTACATCTTCCAGGTATGTGTTTGCAATAATTTCGAACGATGAAACTGCTTGTTGTTAGATTTCAGATTTCAGACTTTACCGACACACCGTATTAAAACAATACCAGTAAAAAAGAATCTCACGTCAGTAGTGAAACATTTTTTGATACAGTTTTTTTCAATAACTCGTAAACGAACGAACTGTCTCCAGCAATATAACGTAGTTTCGTTGAAATCGTTCCTGTTGACATTGACATTCGATTAAGAAATCGTTGCGTAATTGTAGCAAAATTCTTCGAATTATTCTGACCTATGAAACGAAAGAAAAAATAGGGAACCGAAATGGTCGTGACACTGCTTATTGTTAGATTTCATATTTCAGACTTTACTGATACGCCGAAATAAAAGTCAGTAAAACAATACCAGTAAAAAAGAATCTCACGTCAGTAGTGAAATATTTTTTGATACAGCTTTTTTCAATAACCAGGACAGTTTCACTCGTAAACGAACGAACTGTCTCCAGCAATATAACGTAGTTTCGTTGAAATCATTCCTGTTGACATTGACATTCGGCTAAGAAATCGTTGCGTAATTGTAGCAAAATTCTTCAAATTATTCTGACCTATGAAACGAAAGAAAAAGTAGGGAACCGATATGGCCGCGACCATTCGCTTATTAATCGTTACGGTTTGGGCTAGGCGAATCCTGAAATCATTCCTGTTGACATTGACGTTCGGCTAAGAAATCGTTGCGTAATTATAGCAAAATTCTTTGAATTATTCTGACATGTGAAACGAAAGAAAAAGTAGGGAACCGAAATGGCCGCGACCATTCGCTTATTAATCGTTACGGTTTGGTCTAGGCGAATCCTGAAATCATTCCTGTTGACATTGACGTTCGGCTAAGAAATCGTTGCGTAATTATAGCAAAATTCTTCGAATTATTCTGACCTATGAAACGAAAGAAAAAGTAGGGAACCGAAATGGCCGCGACCATTCGCTTATTAATCGTTACGGTTTGGGCTAGGCGAATCCTGTGCCGGACGATCCGCAAGCAGCCCCAACAACGCCCAACAGTTTGGATAACATCGCGGACCAGGTGAAAAAAGCTTGGAGCAGCGCATCCGATACGTTGAACCAGAAAATGGGTGAATGGGTGAACGAGAGCAACTTCAACGATGCCATCGAGAAAGCAAAAACATTGTTGAACCAGGCTGGTGAACATATCCGCAAGGAAGCCGAGAAGATCGGTGAAAAGCTCCACGATTAATCATCCTCTACATGTTATCTACATATTATGCAATATTATGCAATACTATACGATATCTAACAATGTTATATTATACAACAGCGCGGCCTACGCGTACACCTGCTCGCGCGCGGTGCAACTTTTCTTTCCTTTTCTTTTTTTTTAACCGCACATAAACTGTACTTGAAACATATATATTTTTAGTCGAACGATCTCGTAGAGATTACAAAATTTCCCTTTGTTCTTCGTGAACGCCGCTCGGTGGCACGTTGCGTAACACGAAGTTGAAAGCAGCGTCAACTTTGACATCGAGCGCCGAGATAAAAAAACGATATTCTATTTTATCAGAATATATGACACAATATGTTGTACGATTAATCGATGATCGTCGTTATGTAAAGCACTTGTGAGACCAATTCTGCGAATAAAATAATATAAAACACACGCACACCGAAACATATCATCGGAAATTATTTGCCCTACTCAAAACCTAAGCTAGAAATTCGATTTTAAGGTTCGCCCTTGTGATCGTAATCCTCGCGATTCTATCGGGGATTTTAATAGATTCTGAAAAAACAAAATAGTTCAACAAGATTCCTTTTTTAACATTTGCATACGAACCTACGCGTGTATGGTCCCCCGAAGCTTCGATGAACGATGCGATGCGACGCGATGCCACAATGTAACACGTCATTCGTAACAATCGGTTGCATTTCAAGGTAATCGTAACACATACAATGAGCGTTGTGAAACTGATAGAATCTCGACAAGAAGCACAGCTCACCGTTCTTTTGAATCTTCTGAATGAAAGATAAAAACCGGCCGAAGCGTGGCCCAGAGAATCGGAAAACAACGTTGGATCAATTGCGAACTTCATTAAGAAAAATATTATCTACTCGCAATGGCGTTATGCTATGTATACCGGTTACTTGCAATTGGTATCTACTGCTGTACAGTATTGCTTACGCAATGATTCTGTCCACATGTTTTCTACATATCTATTTTATTGAAGAGAAAAGCCATATCGCCGGTGCTTCGTTCTTAAACACAGGCAAAAAATTGTCAAGAAGAATTGATTTTATTGCATATAATCTAGAAGATATTCGTCGAATCTTTCGTGCAAAATTATTTCTGGAAATAACTCCGTCTCGTATGCATAACAAACGAGCATGGCTGGCTAGATTCGCAAGTGGCTTTGCCATTCTCGGTTCGGAAAAATTCGAGAAACGTTACGCGTGGCATTGGCGAACGTAATAAGTAATCGGCAAATGCAACAAAAGTGTAGACTTTCCTCCGGGACCTTGACCCCTTGATCCATCGCTTCAAGAGAATCGCTATTTACTGAACATACAACGAAACGATCAAACATCCAAACAACTTAACGACCAAACAATCGAACGAGCCATCTATTCTAAGCAAATAATCGCAATCCAGCATGAAATGCAAAGTCTTGAATCATATTATGCAGCATCGATTTGCAATTGATTCCCAGAAAGAAAACGGCGATCCGAAATTACAGATAATACCGATGACGCTTTTCACCTCTGACTTTTAGGTATCAGTCCCGAGATCGAGTGTTTGAAATTTGCATGATTCGTTATTTCAAACGCGGGCAATAAACGTTACTTTTCCAGCTGAAACAGGTACTACTGTGAGAACACTGTCCACCGCCTATTTTGCAATCCTAATTTCAAAATCCTAATCAATAACTGATTCTTGGCGATGATCTTTAAGCGCCAAACACAGATCCAAAAGCCTACAAGAACCGTCTGTTGTCATGCCAATTGTACCGCATGTGTGCCGCGTCCCGCGACTTTGCTGCAACTGCGTCGAGACTCGCGGCTCTCTGCTGCGACCTGCGACTGATCCGCGTCTGTACCGCGATCAACCCCTTTATTAACGCATTCAATTCTTTCTACGATTTGTCGAGTTATTGTACACGATCGCTACCCGGATCTCATCGTTGAATCTGCAAGTATGCGTGCGTTTGCGTGTATTGTGATTCATCGTCGTCGAAACGAGATAAGAAATACGGTGCCCTCCTGCACTCTCTCTCGATAAGAATCGCCTATAAAACTGGGTAGCTCGGACAGCAGGATGATCAGTCGATTCCTAATTGTTAAGTAAGTTGAGAGTTCGCGAGAGCGAAAAAAAAACTATCGAAAAATGAAGAGCATCTTCGCGATCGCGTTAGCACTGGCGGTTGTGGTTACGGAGGCTAGAGTCACGCCGGCCACCGAGACCGCTTCCACTAACACCAATACCCAAGGGAATCAATTAACCGAACTTATTAATCAAGCCCAAAGCAACATCAACAGTATCACGAAACAAATCCAAGAGAAACTGAACCTGCCCGATCAAGAGAAGCTCCTGCAAAACGTTAAGGAACAAACGACCAACTTCGTGGCGACCTTTGAAACGTACTTGAAGAACGTTACAAAAGAGGTATTCGATTTACGTTTCTTTCAACTTTCTAATTTAATCTAGTCGAGATGTATTATTATTTGTTTATTATTTGTTTTTGATGTTATTATTTCCATCTCTTGCTATTTTCATTGCTTTGCCTTTTACTTCACGTACAAAACATTGACCTGATAATTCATGAAAAAAGAAAAAAAGTTCATCGAGCACGGAGAGTATTCGAAATACACGCGTACGATCGTGTGTACATTTTTGAACGAGCTATAGCCATTATCGGTGAAACGGAACGTAACGAACACGTGTCGCAGCGGCAATTGGAAGAAATCGTCGGTGATCGTTGTTTCAGATTCAAAGCAAAGGCCCCGAGTTGGAAACGGTGTGGAACGACGTGAAAGGGAAGATCACCAAAGGCCTGGATGATGTTACCAGTGGAAACGCGAAGCAACAGCTAGCCGAATTGGAGGAGAAATTCAAGCTAGGTGTACAAGCGGTGCTCACAGAATCCGATAACACAGCGAAGACACTGAGTCAGCACTCGAGCAAGATTCAGGACGAGATCGCCAAGTTTACGAAACAGGCGGTCGACTTGACCGTAGAAGCCACACAGAACATAAACAATGTGCTTCAGCAAACCGCGGCTACTCCCAAAAAAGACTAATTTCTTCGATATTTTCTTCCTCCGCAGTCCCTTCATTCCCAGATACCAGAAGTTTACAAGTTCGAAAGAATTAGTCATCCATGATAAATATCAATCTGTAATTAGTTCATGAAATAGTAATTTCTCACCGAAGTAGAATCGAACTTGTAACAGTTTCCCACGCGCTTCTGGTAAAGCAAATTAACACCGATCGATCGAAGATTCTTCGGTTACGTTTTAGATTAATACCGCCGTTACCGCCTTACATGTGGATCACTTGATACTACAATTGTGCTTGCACTTTGTGTGTATACGTGTATAATGTATAATAAGCGCTAAAACAAATACATGTTACAATCGGTTTAACGATTCTCCTCTTATTGATTCCCTTCCATTTCACGTTTGCCATTCGGCAAAGAGTAAAATGCATTGTATAATTTTCTATCATGTATATCAACATATATATATTATATATAATTATAATATATAATATATATAATTATAATATATAATATATATAATTATAATATATAATATATATATATATATTAATTATAATATATAATTATATATAATTATATATTATATATATAATAACGTATTATATTTAATACGTTATT